TTGCGTTACTAAAATGTAGCCACCTCCTACAAGATACGCCTTTACTGAAGTTTGTTTCACGTTGGTCTCAACTTCAAGTACCTGGGAGAGAGGGCACCATAACAGAAAATAAATTTCTTGGGCAAGTTACCCCTCCTACGTGTTGGGGAATTTTAAATTAACACTGAATATTTGGCTTGGGATGGAGACAGCGTTGTGGTCAATGGGACAGGCTTTTCCTGCTGTGTATGTCGTTGGAAATGCATGCAGGAGCTCTGAAAAAACTAGGATGTTTCTAGTAAATGAGGTTATGCTTCTGTGTGGGCATAGGCTATGTCTTTCTGCCTTTTTTTTATTAATTAAAGAAGGAGTGGTTGTAGATTGAGGAACAGTGAGAGACTTAGGGAGAAAATACGGAGGAAAACGTAGTTTTGCTCTCTTTAGAACGAATAAGTACCGGCAAGTTGTAAAGATTCAGAGACATAGCAATTTCAGGTTTCTATTTGCTTGCACTTGCCACACGAGCAGAAAAGCTGTTGAACCACATTTTCAAGAAGAGAACTCATTGCAGCGAGGTGTATTTGAAATCAAGATTGCAGCGGGTTTGCAGTGAAACTTTTTTCCCTCTTGATAATGAAAAAGGTGAGATGAAAAGGTCATGTCAGGAACGAGTGTTTCTTTAGCTGTCTGGTGCTGCTGAAGAGCTTCTGCAGGCTGTCTCATTCAGCATTTCTCCGTGGCGAGGTTCCTGCTGTTGGTGTTCTTATCCCCATCTGTAGACTGCATTTCAGAAATGTGTCTGTTCAGCAGTGCCTGTAAATGTGCAGTGCTCTTAAGTGTGTACCCAAGAATCCGTGAGCGTGGTCCGACTTGCAGGCGTGTCCTGTTGTGCGAGGATGGAGCACCGAGCGAGAGGCAGAGCGTCGCAGCAAGCAGAGTGGGAGCCCAGCCTGGGAAAGCAACTCCTGTTTTCCTATCGCCAGAGCAGGTGTTTGGGTTGTGAAAACCAGACCAGCTCACTCAGGTTACATCACCTTACTGAACAACGTGAAGTAGTCCTTCGTGAGGGTCTCTTTAATTAGATGTTCAGGTAGGATCCGGGTATGACGAGCTCCTGCAGTCGGTGGGTTGGCTGTGATGCTTTGTACAGGAGCTCACTTTGTAGAAGACGATGCTATTCCGAAGGATTTCTGAATTCATTGTAGTGCTGTCAGAAAAGGGAGCAGGAGGATGGAGCTGACTTCCCCAAAGAAGCCCAGCCCAGCCGCTCAGGACAGTCTTGCCTGCGGCGTCTCAGACCGGAGAGCGACAGAGTTTCTCTTCTCATTCAGTCCTTGGTCTCTGCTGCCTCTTGCCAGCCCACGAGCTGTGGGATGCTGGTTGCCAGAACAGCTTTTGTGGTGTGGATACGTGTCCTTTAGGCACCGAATTGTGACACTCCACAATGTGTTTCGCTCTGTCCACTGAGCGGTGGCAGCACCGATGGTCGGGGCTGGAGCTGGAACCTGCAGGAGGGAACCTGGCTGAGGGAACTGGGTTTGTTTAGTCTAGAGAAGAGGAGACTGAGAGGAGACCTTATTGCCCTCTACAACTACCTAAAAGGAGGCTGTAGCGAGGCTGGTGCTGGTCTCTTCTCTCAGATTAGTAATGACAGGACAAGGGGAAATGGCCTCAAGTTGCGCCAGGGGAGGTTTAGATTAGATATCAGGAAGAAATTCTTCGCTGAGAGGGTAGTTAGGCACTGGCACAGGCTGCCCAGGGAGGTGGTGGAGTCGCCATTCCTGGAGGTGTTTAAAGAACGAATAGATGTGGCGCTTGAGGATATGGCGTAGTGGTTAGAGAAATATTGGGAAAAAGATTGGACTTGATGACCCTGAAGGTCCTTTCCAACCATAATGATTCTGTGATTCTGTGTGACCTGGCTTTGCCCTGCAAGGTCTGCGGTCATTTATGGCGGGACTGAGTGGTTACGTGAGCCTGTTAAAACCACAATCCTTGACGACTGCTGTCAGGTTCTATGGTTCTGTGCAACTTCAGGGATAACAAAATTTCCTCTCTTTGTTTTGTCAAGTCTGTAGTCCTACGAATTCGGAAGGCTGGTGCCTCTTTATAGGGATTTGATGGCACTTCCACAGTCATCAGATTTCATTTTCTACACTTAATAAGAGTGTGTGTGTGGGAAACAGTATGTGGGATTTTAATTTTAGCCTTATGGATTTTTCATGAAGTCTGTGACACTTTGTGCAGTAATGCAGTTATTCTTTCCCCTAGGACAGTGCTCTAATTTACCTTGTTTTGGTTGCCTTCATGGCAGGTAGAGCAATTCTTGCCCTCTGCTTACTTGGTTTATCTAATAGTCAGCCACTGAAGTTATGTAACTGCTCTGGTGGGAGTGCACAGTATTTAAATCAACAAATATTGAAGGCTTCATTCAGCTGGATGCCTAATGCTGAGCACTAGAAACCTCCATCTGTGGTTAGGGAGCTTGTCTTTTGTTTTCTTCTGGCACTGACTTTGCTGAAATAATTGTTTAAATGGCCACAGCATGATCTTCTAAAGATACCAAATGCAGAAAGAGAAACAGGGATCGAAAGAATAAGGGCATAGCTCTTGGCTCCCTCTGGCTAAGACTTTTCACATAGTTAAGTAACAGTGAAAAAACCAGCACTTTATCTTCTCCCAGAGTCGTTGCTATCGAAAACCAACTCTTGTGCGCCTTATCGGAGCTCTCAGTACACAGAAGGTGGTCTGGGTGGTGTGAGAGGGCAGCAGATGGAGGTGATAACTGGATCGTGGTCGGAGAGCTGCCCGGTTACTGCCTGCTGGAGGGGGGGGTTCAGCCCCTGCCCCCCTCCCTGTTCTCCCCTGGAGCTCTTTTTGGAGGCTCTGAGCCAGCAAAGTCCACGTAGGAGACGATCACAGGCTGGGTTGCCTGGGTTTAGGGGCAGTGGAGTGGTTAGTGCTGGAAAAATGGCCAGAGTTCAACCCCAGGGAAGAGTTACCACTTGTCATCAAGACTTGAAGACATTTTCTAGTAAGATGCTTCATTTCCAACATCTGTGACTTTCAGTTGCAAATAAGGAGCGGGACTAGAACTGTCCCCCTTGTCACTTAGGTAGGACTAGGCTGGAGCAAGTCTTCGAGACCCACCTGGACAGAACTCCGACGTACCTGGTGTGAATTCGTCGTTAACTGAGCTTCGAGCCAGAGGTTGGATTGAGGGGTGTAAGGGTATGGACCAGTTCTAAGAGAGCTTTCAGTTCGGTGCTGGTGATATTTGTCCTTAAATCTCAGATCAGCACCAAAAATCAGGAGGTTTGGGGGATGATAGGGTTGTTTCACGTACTAGAATTCATTGCTTTTAGAGTTCAGATCTGCAAGTGCTGTTTGTGCAGAAATCTGTATCAAAATCTTTCAGGTCCACGCAGTGGTAGGGAGCTGACCTGAATGAATGTATCCAAGAGCAGGGGAGAGAGATTTTTTTCCCAGGTGCAATTTGGTGCTTTTGGGGAAGGCCTGTTCCGGTGAGCTGTGTCCCGCTGCTTCTCCTCGCCACAGATGTTTGCCCTGAGCTGCCCGTGCTCGGGGGCGCGCAGCAAAGCCCTGCAGAGCTTGGCTTTGAACCGTCAGCCCCGCTATATCGGATTTAACATCCTGGGATCCAGAATCTTGGTGGTTCTTCGTGCTTTAGCCTCACATCAGGTTTTTGCCAGGTCAGCAGAGACATTGAGAATATTGTTTTCCTTGAGTTTTGGGATTTGAAAGCAGTGTGAGATGCTGATGCTGAGGATGCTGGTCTGGGTTGCAGAGTTGTCCTTCAGGTTTTACTCGAGGCCCTGCTGAGTAGTGTAGGTGAAAACTGCATTGCTTCAAGCTGGTTGTAAATCGGTTTTACCTGCTTTAACAGCACACTCGGACAAAGCTTTCACTGGTGCTTTTTATGATCCTTTTCATAACTGTCTGGCCTCTGGAAGGAAAACAATACAAGGAATCCCTGACAGCAGGTTGATTTAATCCTTTCACCGATCATGCCAGTGGATTGTTGCACTCCTGGTTGCCTGGAGAGCTGTTAGGTTGTCACGTCCAAAGCCTTTCTGCAAGTACATGGTGTTCATACCCGGGATTTTTTTCAGCTCAGGTCTGAAATATCTAATGGGATGAATTCATTGATGGGGGGAGCATGGAAATATTTGAGAGGGAGGAAAAAAGACTTTTTACATGGGCACTCCTGTTTTATCTGCATGCGAGCTTTTAGTCAGCCAAGAAATCTTGCTCCATGTAATTATTTTAGTCTAGAATCTTATTTTGCCTGCTTCACCCTTGCGTTTACTCTGGCTGTTGCCTCTGAAATGACGCTGCGAATCCTGCTCCTGTGCTGCTTTGTCCCAGTGCAAGAGCTGCTCTTCACTGGGCAGCATTGCCAGGAGAGCTGTGATTGCCAGGGACTTACTCCTTGCGATGTTTCAGGTAGCAGCAGAGCCCTGATGTAGACGTTTGCCCTCTGAGCCGTGTCTGTGCCACAAAAGCTCACCTGTACAGCCCTACCAGCAAGCTTCTCTTAGGCAGAGCCCTTCACGACTTTGGATTGACACGAGATCTGAGTGCGGGATTGGGCAGCGTTTTGTTTGATATGGGAGGTGTTGACATATGGTCCAGTAAATGCAGTTATTGGAAGAGCTAAAGATAATATTTACTTTGAAAAATCCATAGTTGGGAGTAAATGGCCACATCTGCAGGTGAGGCAAGTGAGGAGGAGTGCACTGCTTTCACCTGAGCCACCAACCCCCAAGTTGTCACCATCTGAGGATCCAGGCCAGTCGGTCAGGTGGGTGAGTGGGCAGCCTAACTGCAGGTGGATTTAGAGATTTAGATTTAGAGAGAGAGAGCCGGCAGTTTTCTGGAGGAGAGGCTTGCTCTTCGTTAGTCACTGTAAGTAGCTGTACCTGGTCTTTGGGGTTTTGATGCCACTTGTGACCCTTTTCTTTCTCCTCTCTTCCTCCTTACCCTCCCTCTTTCTCCAGGGTTTAATGCCATGGCTGCAGATGAAAGTGCTACAGAAAAGCAAGCGGGGGAACCAAAAATGGCAGTAGACGGTGAAACCAATGGTTCCTGTGAGCACAGCGAAGCTGGTAGCCACCCAACCCCAGCTAAAAACACTCAGGACAATACGAAAGCGAGCCAGCAGGACTCTAGTACTAAATTAAATAGGATAGCAGAAAATGGCATTTCTGAACGAGACGGTGAGACTGGGAAGCAAAACCATATGAAAGCTAATGACTTCACACAGACTTCGGTAACGGGGAGCAATGGATATATTCTTACCAAGCAGATGGCACAGGAGCAACCTCTAAGGACTACCAGCACCTTTGCTTCTCTCACCGGCCATGCTGCAAAAACCCTTCCAGGAGGAGCAAGCAAAGGGAGAACTGTGGGCTCCTTTTCTCAGATGCAAGCCACGATGCCAAGCAAGCTCGGGGAGGGCAGTAAGGACATGGATGCTAAAAAAGCCGCCGCTGCTAACACCGAAGTCAAGGTCCACAGAGCACGGAAGACAATGCCTAAACCCACCCCCAGCCTGGTAACGTATATGCCCAGCAGTCAGTGCTGCTGCGATTGCTCTCGGCTTTCTTTGAGTGCATGAGAGGGATCCCTCGCTGCACAGGAACACGTGTGATTCAGGGGTGTCCCACTGAGTGGATTAATTTTTTTATAAATACATATATTTTTTGAAATTATTTTTTGGGACCTCTTCCTACAGAGAGACGGAGGTGGTAAAATAGTCACGTGGCCACCGTCAGCTCTCTTCCCCAATGCGTTTCGAAATACATAATTGATCGCTTACCTTCTCCAGCTGATCTGTGCGAGACACTAAATGGCCTTTCTGGCTTGGCTGTGTAGCTCATCAGCCATCTGCTGAAATCCAGAGCTGCTTGTGAAACAAATTAGATTTCTTCTAAGTTCGACCCAAAGGAAATTAAGCATGGCGTGTTAACTTGAGGCTTCTCCTAAGCTTCGAAGCTGTCAAGAAGCTGGTATGTTAATGCTGTGTCATTATAGTAGTAAACCAGCTGATGTTTACTCTCTCTTTCTCTGTGTTGCCTGCAATAATGCAACTTGTTCAGACAGCTTCACTCCAGAATCCTCAGGGGTGGACTTGCCATCAGTTAACAGAGCTCTGCCTATTTTTTCAGGGGGCAAAAGGAAATGTGAAGTCATCTGATGCATTCGTGTTAAGGCGGGGTGAACAGAAATGGGTCTTTCTTTGTCATTGGCTACATTTGGTTCTCTTTTTGGTTATTTTGCCAAAGGTAGGGAGTAGATACCAAAACAGGCAGATCTCCACCACGAGCACTTGCTCTCCAGCCTTGTGGTGCTTTATATTTAACTGCGGGGAGCTAGATCCTCTCGTTTTGCTGTGTGTCTGATGGTGGAGAGAGACAGGCCTTTAGGTACGCTGCACCGAGGTACAGGAAAGGATCGTGAGTGCTGCGTGGCGATGCGAGTCACGCCCAAAAGAAATGGGAAGCAGCTTCCTAAAGGTTGGTGCTGCCGGCGTGTTACGGAGCAGCAAATGCAAACGCATCCTCCGATGTCACCTGCGAGTTGCAGCCCAGCAGTAGTATGATGTGAAGGTCTCAAAGCTGTGAATCGCTGCGGTCTAGAGCAGAGGAAGAGAGGAAAAAAAAACCCAAAACCCAAACCAAAAAGAAAGACGGGTGGCGCCTAGCCAGCCACAGATGGGGAAAGGTGCCCTTGGCTGCGGCACCACCTGTGCCTCCGGATGCAGGTGGGAGTCCAAAGAGCACATCAGGATTACAAACCTCGTGGGCGCCCGGCCTCAACAGTAGGGCAGAAACCACGCCTGCCATGATTTCCCAGCCATTCTCCCAAAAACCCACTAATTTCCCCTCTATCTTCCTCTGATTGTATTTAAATTCTCTCACTCTCGCACCCCTGCTGTGTTCTCTGACTGGGGGCAGCCCAGATGCGATACGTGCAGCCAGATGAAAGCCTCCAGTAAGGCTGTCTCTTACCCAGACAAGCCTTTGCAGCCGAAACTTCCTCGCAGTTTCCTCCAGCAGCCTGTTGTGCACTTAAATGAGGCCGGGCAAACCCCCAGACCTGTGTGGAGTTTGACAGGGAGAGATCCCTCGGGGCTGAGCAATTGAAAGAGGCGATTCCCTTCTACAAGACGGCTGCTAGGTTAGGAGGGAGTATTTTCCTCATTCATATTTTATGATACATCAAAAGAATATTTTTACGCAACCCCTTGGGCTTCAAGGTTTGTCTCTAGAAAGCTGCGTGCGGCGTTTGCGGATGCTCGCAGCGCTCCGCTACACGAGTTGCTGTGATGGTGCTGTTGATCGTTATTTGTTCACACAGCAACAGCTTCAGAAAACCAAAGCCTGCGGTTGTTGGGCCCCTCTAAAAAGCGCAGAGCCTGTCCTCGGCACCCCTGGCCCTTTCCCTTGGGTTTAAAATAGGGAGAGAAACAAAATTTGCAGGGAGGGTGGTAAGAAGAGGCTGGCCTCACGTTCTCTGCTCAAGCCTCTGCATCTGAGTGTGAACCCAAGATTTGATCTCATTTCTGCAAGACAATAAAACATCTGTTTAGTTCAGCCTCCCTGATAATTACTACCTCATTTTTCCCCATTGTCTGCTGAATGTACATGCTCTTCTCTTTTGAGTAGCAGACTCCTTGCTCATTGTCATTTTTCTGTCCCAATTATTTCTTTGTTGAGCTGCTTATAAGAGGCTCATCAGGACAGCTTTGCAGTAACTTTTCGTGCACCAGTGTCCACGTTCACACCTTTTCCCCTTCAGAAACACTGTGATAGCAGGTGCTGTATTCCTGGAAATAAATTGTGGAAGTCACCCAGAAGTTGGTGTTAACAGGACACAGCAGTTTTCTTTGCTAATATTTTTTAGACCATTGTTGTTTTCTAGGTAGGCTGCCTTGGAGGAGGGGACGAAGGTATTTTGTTGCCTTGAAAGTGCAAACATTTGTTCCCCCTGGCTCCTGCAGAAACCCACTGGGGCCAAAAACATTTTTCTGTAATCCAATAGCTGCCAGGGGACTTTGGTAGCCTTTTCCTGTGCACGTGGATTGGTCTTTGAAAGGAAGAAAACAGTTTTTTTCCACAGATTTAACCAGCTGTTTCTCTGTTTAGGAGTTGCTTCCTGAATTGGGATCGAAGCTGAATCTGAAACAGGTGACAATTTTAATTGATGTTGTCGCGTGTTAAGGTGCATGTTAAGGTCTTTTTGAACGAAGATCTTGGAAGAGTTGTTGACAGCATCATTTCTTCTCCCCTTCTGGGTAGTGCAGTAACACAAGCGTTGCATCTTTTGGAAGAATCTTTCCTTCCTAATCCATTTCCATCACTATTAAGAACCCAAATATTTCCAGGGTCAGGTAACAGATTGAAAGGCAAGTGTGTGTCTGTGTGTGTGTCCTGAGCTTGGAGAAGGCTGTTCCTGTCAGAAAACTCCAGTTTCTGAGCTTGACATGACTAAGATGTGTCTGGAAGGGATAAGAGATGATAGAGGTAGTGAAAGCATCCCAGAGCTGTCTCTTGAGACAGGAGGAGCAGACGGCTCCATTGAGAACCCCAAGTTATGTTTCTGTTCTCGGCGACTGTGAGGCTGTAGTTTGAGGACTTGTTTTTTCTGGTGGTATTTTTTTATGCTGCACGGAGGACTAGGTCTAGGGGACAGAACTGTCAGAGGAAATAGCGCAAAAATCTGTGAAATTAATATCTCACAGTGTGAGCCCAAAACGTAGGCTACCAGTTTAACTGGGGAAGGCAAAGCCTGGGCAGGAAGGAGGAGCTTGGAGCAGGAGACACTTTGCTTGTGTTGGCATTTCTACCAATATTCAACAAACTATACTTTTAAGTGGCATTGCCATTAAATAACTGAACCCCAGGACGGATAAGCTGCTTGCTTTTTGTGCGCTTGCAGGTGTTGCTGTTGCTGTAAAGTGTTATTTTCCGTGTCAGTGCCCAGCACGGTGTGCTGATGTGGGCTGCAGGCTGCTCTGCAGGAGCTCCTGGCCTGAGAATAGCTCGTGTTTGTCTCTCGGGGCCGGGCAGGTTGGTGGTTTGAAAGCAGCTGGGGTTGCTCAGCAGGCTCAGACCCTCTAACGTGCAGAAAACTCAAAAACAAAGCACAGGTCTTAACGGGGATGGTGATGGGGATATTGTCTCCTGGGGTTTGGGGGGGATAAAAAGAAGACAGGGCACAGTGAGGTAGAGCTCACCAAGTGCTACTCGCAGCTTGTCTGAACCTAGGGGTGCTCCCATCGAGGACCCTCTCCAGAGGGTACCCAGCTGTGCAAGGGCAGATGGAAAGTGTGAAGCCCACGCGTGCGAGCTTGGTCACAGTTAGATATCCCCTCTGGGCAATCTAGAGGAGTGACAAGGCCATAGACTGCCTTTGGACTTCTTGTATAGAGGAGTTACAGCAGAGGGAGGTAGAAAGTGATCGTACCTTGGGCAGTACGTTGAATTTCGTATTTAACTGGCTGTGCTCGCTCTGCCAACCACGGCCCGTAGAAATAACGGTCCCAGTCTCAGGTCCCCAGCAGGACCCATTGCTGTCGAAAGTGGTTGGAGCTACCCTGCTTTGTCGTGACTTGTGTGTGACACTTGCCTTGGAGCTGCTCGGTCTGGGAAGGGACAGCGACGAGGAGTGAGGTCTCTCCCTCTGATCCAGCCGAGCCCACACTTCTGGACGATGCTTGTTCTGAAACCCATTAAATGCAGGTTTTGTAGCTTGGTTTAGGAATATCTACAATTCAGCCCAGTCTGCCTGGCAGCCTAAACCAGGTTTTATGCAGGTAGGTGACCGCACACAAATCAGTGCAGTTGTAATCAAGTCACCCTGGAACCCCTTTTCCAATGGGCCCACATAAATCTGTAGATAAAGGGTGTTAATAGATGGACCAGCCTTGCAGCTTGGCTGATCTAGCTTAAGACCAAAGCCATGGAGGTTTCTTCTTGTTGCTCCAAGGGAAGGCTTAGGTGTAGTGGTCAGGATCCCTTGGCAGCTGTGCTGAGATTTGGTAGTGAAAAATCTTCATTCGTAGCAGTTGGAGGAAAGGGAGAGTAGCACCACTGCAGCTCCTACAGGCGCTGTCATCTGCTTGTGATAAATTTTTTATCTCAGACTGATACTTCTTGCTTAAACGTCGCTCACCAGTTGTTCGAAGCAGATACCCTTGGGAGCTGCTGCTTTGTGTCGTTCAAAGGCAGCGCCTCGGGTACAAATCTCGTTCCCCCTCTGCGCAATGGATGGAGAGAAGAGGGTTTCTCCATGACAGCCGCTGCGTTGCCTGGTGGCAGTGGTGGGTACTGGCTGGTTGGCTTTGGTTTCAAGCTCGTTCTGTGCCAGAGATGAAAGTCCTTAAGAGAGATCAGACAGCTCGTGTATCTAAGTTGGAGGTGGTTCCAGGTGTGGAGAGCAAACACAAGTCTTCCTGCGGTGCTCCTTAAGCTGCCCTGCTCCAAAGCAGCACCTGCAGGACCTTTCCCGGTGTCCTTGCAGGGATGGAGTTCTGGTCTGATTTCTCTTTGGTCGTTGCTGCCTTGCTTGCTTTGTTAATGGAAAGACCTCTTCATTGCTGGGCTGTGGGAGGAAGGCCGTGCGCGGTCTGTTTAATTAATAAGGTCAATTTGTTCTGTGTTTTTACTTTCAGATTAAAAAAAAAAGGAGGATATTCCATCATTTGCCATTTTAGTAGCTTCTCTCTGCTAGAGTGGGGGACATCTGTACCAATAATAGAAAAATGATCGATTCCATTAAAATGTAGAAGGCACTTGAGTGTAATTTTTGTGAACACATAAAATACTGTGTTCTTGCTTGTCTAAGCAATTTTTTTCTTACAGTGCTGTCAAACACAGTTGTGGTCCCTTTTTTGCTGTTTCCAAACACAAAAATCTCTGTAAATGTTGGCTTGGGCGGTGGAATAGCTGTCTTCAGCCTCTGGATGACTCTTGCTTGCCATGCCCAACATGGAAGAGTGTCTTTGCAGCCTTAGGTGTAGGATGAGCTGATACCACATGAGAAGCTGCCGGAAATGAAGACATCAGCCATTCAGTTTCTCTCTCATTAATTTTTGGTCCTTTCTGGGCCTCCAGTGGCCCGTGTGTGTGGTGGTTAGGGCACGTGAACACAGGGAGCTTGGACTGCATCCTGGAGTTGCCTTTGCATGGGGTTCTCTTCACTGTACTTCTCTAAAACTGTAGATGAAAACCATGCTTAGAGATGGAATATAATTGGAGAAAAAAAGGAGAGACTGTTTTGGACAAGGGTAGCGTACAGCCATGGAGTTTATCTAGGGTCAGGAATAGCTCTTCTCGCCTCTGATTTTGCTGTTTGCAGTGGAGCTCTTGTAGGTGTTAGATGAGAGCACCTCTGCTCTCTTGGATGTCTCTTGGTTTAAGTGAAGGACGATGGGCCCGTTAGCTCAGTCAGTTGAGCGTGGTGCTAACAACACCAAGGTCGCGGGTTCAATTCCTGTTCAATCTCCATGTGTTGCCTGATCGAGTTGAGAGGTGGCGTCCCTGGCGGCAGGGAGGCTGGATTAAAATGATTTCTAAGGTCCCTTCCAGCCTAGGCCATTCTGTGATTCTATGATTCATTCTATGATGATCTTCATCCAATTTCTGAGCGTAGGAGTCTGCTTATCTAAAAACACGGGCGACTCCCGAGCGTGCGTGCCCTCGTTAGCGTCCTTGGCGGGTCATCCATGCCCAAGAGCTCGCTGAAAGCCTTCGTGCATCGCTTTCCCGGCGGCGTCGCTTCTGGTGCAGGCTCCAGCATTGCCAGTCTGGCATTTTCCACCTTTAGCAGAGGATTCTGGATCTTCAGGAGACAGAGCAGGAACATATGAGGATTTGTCACCGAGAATTGGGTGAGCAGATGTTGAAGCCCCTGCTGGTTGCGGGCCCTTTTGTGCTTTGCCAGCCCAAGTGTCCTCTACTGGGAAAAGGTACGAGAGGCCGTAAGCTGAGTTTTGCTTGGATGAGGACTGAGCCACAAGCAGTTTTAGTACTGTCTGCTTGATGCTGTGCCTTGTGCTAGGGACAAGGAGGGCAGGAGGAACCCATCCATCATCAAACTGGGGAAGGGTGGCATGTGAGCTGCCGTTGGCTGTGCCAGGCACCGTATGGCTTGAGAAGTCCCTGATGGTGCTGGGGGCTTGCAGGTGGATCCATGAGCTTTGTGCTTGAACAGAGCTTCCCGGTGGAGTGACGTTTTAGATTAGCAAAGCCTCTTCTCTGGGATAATTTAAATTTGGAGGAGATAGAGCAGAACACAGAAGCTCAGTGTAGGAAACCAAGGTGGGCTGTACCTGCTGGCTCGGGTTAAGGGATTTGCAGAATCTGGGGACATTAGAAGTGAAAGGAGAGTAAGATTTCATCCGCTAAATGCTCTACTTGCTGCAAGAGTAAAATCTAGTAAGAACAGCAAAGATGTAGCTTTTATCTAGCTAAGAATGAAGAGAGATGGTGAGAAAACTTGAGTATAAGTGCTTTCAGCTCTTGCTGATGCTTTTCATTCCAATGCTTAGATTTAGTATTTCTTACCTATATATATACACACACACACGTGTATGGGGGATATATATGTTTTCCTGCTGGCCTGCTCAGCCTCCCGTGCCATCGGGCTTCCTGAGAGATCTGGTCACCTCTCGGTGGGAATTCTTGTTCTTTAACATTGCTTCATATGCCTCCGAGTAATATAATCCAGATCTCACAAAGCTTACTTTCATTTAAAAAACTGATGTTCTGGAATTGCCATGAAAAAGTCACATTTAACAATTGTTATGCAGCCCCACTGAAGATTTTTAATTTATTTCCATATTGTAATTACAGGGGAAGAGAAAAACCCCAAGCTAATAACATACTACTTTTTCATTTAAAATTTGATTATATTCTTCCAAACGTGGAAGAACGTTCTGGCATGGTTTGAATGTGAATTCTTGCTGTTTGGGAGTAACAGCACGTTGTATCAGAGACCATTTACCAGAGCCTGCACTTAAAGGACGAAAAATGCAACCCTTACGTCCACTTGCAGGCAGCTCTGTGTCAGATCCTCCTCTCCCAAGCAGATTTTTCTAATTTTAAGTTAAGAGTGGAGAGCAGTGGATGTTCCCGGGGACTTGGGACTTCTCAAACTAACCCTGTAGCCAAGAGTTACTGTTAACCTTCAGATCTATAAACTGGGGACTTTTGAGAGGTATAAATAGTATTGTTGAGACTATTATTGGCATAGTATGCCCAGCACTCCTGACGTGCATTGTTTAAGGGGTAGAACAACTGGGAGCAGTCTCAGGAGTGATCCAATGTCCAAAAAATGATCCCATGGGCACTTAATTTGCTCATCCTATTAAACTTATTGAAGATAAAGTTGTGAAGGTTTTTTGTTTGTTTTTCTTTTGTTTGTTTCAAAGTTGGTCATAGTCCATAAGTATGTTGGAGTGAGAGTTCCTGGTGATACAGGGCTTTTTAATTTAGTTGAAAAAGCATAATGCATTTAATTATTTGACAGTGAGAGCAATTAAGCATTGGAACAACATCTCAAAGGATGCGGTAGATTTGTCGCCTTTGAAATCGTTAATCCAAGACTAGATGCCTTTTAAGAAAAGACGTGGCATTTCCAGCCATAAGTCATGGGCTTGATGCAGAAATCATTGGCAATTTGATGGCCTTTTTATGCAAGTTGTTTCTGATTATCTTTACAGCTTTTCTCTCTGTGAGCGAGTCCTCACCCTCTGCCAGCAGTGTGCACGTGGCAGAGCAATAATGAGGAGAATCAGTCGCTTCCCCGTTTGTTCGCAAGGTCGCATTACTTGCAGGCGATGTCTAAGAGTGCCTGTCTGAACCTGGAATTTAAAAAGTGGCTTTATTGCTTGCTGCTTTTTATTCCTTCCTCTCTTTTGCCTGGATTCCTCTTTCTGTTTTGGCATTTCAGCTGTTGCATCAGGAACCCGTAAGAAGCGTTTTCCGGCAAGTGGAGCAGCACTAAAACGTTGCCGCCGCAGAGCTCGTAATCTGCTCGCTGTGCTCTTGGAGCATCTCTGCCAAACCTGCCTCCAGCTTGACAGCTGAGTGGACAGATGTAGGGAGAGGCATGGATACAGCTAGGTCATCTCTTAAATACATGAGAGGGAAAATCCCATTTAAAATATCAAATCTGAGTGGTGGTATTTACCCCGCTCTCTGTTGATACAGCGGTTGCTGCCAGAAGCGCAGCGCTGTGGGACGTGGAGCCGTAGGAACCCTGCTTTCGTGACCAACGCTGCTGGGGGAGACTTTGCGTTGAGTACAAACTCGAAGCGCAGCGGTTGCGAACTGCCTTGGGACCTGGGAGCGCAGCAGCAACTACAAAATGCTCTTGGTTTTCAGGAGGAGCTCGTAGCCTGCTCTGGGTGTGCTCTTGCGACAGCCAGGTCGGGAGTACCTGGTTCAAAACAAGCTCGGACAGGTCTTTGCCGTGGCAGAGGAACCTGTGATGCCAGGCTGATACCTTCTCCACCCGTGGTTTGTTGTGTGCTAGGCTAGAAGTGGGAGCCTTCGCTGAGACTTTTGATGGTGCTGAATGCTGTCTGCAAGGAAGGGTCCCTTCCCAGGGCTGCCTGCTCTTCTGAGACATCTCCATGAGATCCTGTTCTCCCACATGCTCGGAGCATGTTTTGTAGAATCATAGAATGTGTTGGGCTGGAAGGGACCTTTAAAGGTGATCTAGTCCGATCCCCCCTGCAGGGAGCAGGGACAGCTTTAACTCGATCAGGTTGCTCAGAGCCCCATCCAGCCTGACCTGGAATGTCTCCAGGAAATTTCAGGGAATAGGTGCATTTGGTGCATTTGTTTGTCTTCTCCAAACCAAACGCCCGCGTAACTAGTGTCTGGTCCTTTTCAGTATCCACAGTTGCTCTGGATGTGCAAGGCAGCCTTTCGCAGCCTTTGAGGAGTGAAGGAGTAGACAAAGTCACTTCATGTGCTGGAGGAGGGGCTGTGTGCTTTCCCTTTGAATGTGTCATCCTGTGGTCTAATGGAAGTGATTATGCTTGAGAGAAAGGAGTTAAATTTATGTTCTGATTTTTTATTTTTTTTTAAATGAAGAGGCTCAACTGAACTGCATTTTTGTTTTGCAGCATGCAAGTAAAGACCCCAAAGATGGGAGAGACAGCAGAGATCAAAAAGAATCCAAGGAGGAAGGCAACAAAAACATCCTGGAGTTTGGGAAGCCGTTGCCGTTGCCCTCTCTCCCGGGCCTTCACCAGTCACTACCTCAGAACCAGAGCTATGTGGCCACCACAAAGTCGCAGACAGGTAAAAAGGAAAGAATGAAGATCCCACCTACCTCCCAGTGTGCGTGGATGTGTGGTTAAGTGGGGGATGAGGCAGGTTAACGAGGACTGAAACCCCTGTTAGTACCTTTTTCCCTAGCGAGTCTCCTGCAGGGTTTCTTTCCCTGTTGCCACAGGTTTGAGCAATGTTGTTTGATCCAGCCGAGTCAATTCAAGCGGCTGTTGTGCTGCAAGCGTGATGCTCGTGTCCTCTGGACTCCCTCCTGGTCACCTCTGGGTGCTGTGACAGTCCTGCAGTCCTCTGGTGAAGAAGCAGCCCAAGGGAAGTCATAGAATCACAGAACTGTCAGGGTTGGAAGGGACCTTAAAGATCATCCAGTTCCAACCCCCTGCCATGGGCAGGGACATCCCCCACGAGATCAGCCCGTCCAGCCTGGCCTGAAAAACTCCCAGGGATGGGGCTGCCACCCCCTCTCTGGGCAACCTGGGCCAGGGTCTCCCCACCCTCATGGGGAAGAACTTCTTCCTCACGTCCCATCTGAACCGACCCATCTCTGGCTTCAATCCATTCCCTCTAGTCCTACCACTGCCCAACATCCTAAAAAGCCCCTCAGCAGCTTTCCTGTAGCCCCCTTGAGATACTGGAAGCCACAACAAGGTCTCCTCGGAGCCTTCTTTTCTGCAGACTGAACAGCCCCAACTCTCTCAGTCTGTCTTCACAGGAAAGTCCAACCGCTTTCTGCCCTGCAGGGAGCACTCCCTGCGCAGTCCTTCCTGCACCACTGTTTTTCATGGGGTGCAGGTCCCTCCCAGGAAGATGTGCTCCATCAGGCACCACCACACCAAGGGTGACTCTTCTGCTAAAGCTCGTTATTAGACAAGGCGCTTCCATCTCGTCTGGCTGTGCTCCATTCTGAAGATGTTTCTGTCAGTTCTGAGGGATTTTTTGTATCACCACAGTAACATGTTACCATAAACTGCATCCTTGTAAATAGATTTCATTGGGTTAACGGAGGTTTGAGGAGATGTCTTCACAGATTTTTGGTGAAATTTAGTCATAGTAGGAGATGACATATTCATCAACAATCTTAATGAGGGGATTGAGTGCACCCTCAG